AAGCTAAATTCAAAGGATAAGCGATCTAAAATCCGAAGAAGAATCGTTGAAAGCTCTTTGAATTTAGCAGTAAGTACTGTCAAGCATCCGTTCAGTATAATGTTCTGGGGATGGTTTTCTTTTCATCGAACTGGTTTCTTAAAACCTATGGAAAAGACCTCAGGAGCGAGCAGTACAAGAGAATTTCAGAGTCTTGTCTGCTCCCTTCTGCTGAAAGGGTGAAAATCGACCCCGCCAAGCTCATTTTTATGCAGGATAATGCTCCCTGTCACAAATCAAAATTGATGAAGGAATACTTTGATGAGAAGCAGGTGAGTGTTATGACATGGCCGCCCCAATCTCCTGACCTCAACCCCATAGAAAACTTATGGAGCATTATAAAGTGCAGGCCCTCGAGAAAGCAGTTGAGAAACAAAGAGGATTTGATTGTGAATTTCATATCCGAATATAATTCAACGCTTGGAGATGAGATTTGCCAGAACCTAATCAACTCAATGCCAAAAAAAGGGTTGAAAAGGTTATTCAAAATAAAGGAGGACCCATAGATTATTAAATATTTCGAACTATATTACCTATTATAAATAAATTATACCTCTATTATTCTTTATTTAAAGCTGTTCGGTTATGTTTCTATTGATTACTAATTGCAGGAAATAAGTGAATCACTTTTTTTGCACAGAGTTTTTCCCTAAATCTCATTTATATCCAAAATTATAATTATCAATAGAATACCTTAGGGGGTGAGTAAACTTTTTACTAAGTGGTCAGGAAGGGGTCTTTATATTAGTAAGATTAAAAATTAGTTTGACCCCAAAAAACAATAGGCGAAAAAAATTTTTTAAGTAAAAAAAATCAGGTGAATCACTTTTTATCGAACAGCACTGCAGATTTAATGCCGCTCGATAGGGTGGCTTTTTAAGCTAGAGTTTATTAATATATCTAGTATTATATATATATATATATATATATATATATATATATATATATATATATATAAATTAAGTGAATTAAAATATGGTTTCTTCTTGTACAGTAATAACCATGTTTCAAAAACCGAAGCTAAAAAGTTCAAATTTAATTATATATTTTAGATTGAGCACTGTTTTGTAAAGATAAAAATATCAATAACAACACCTGATTATATATCTTACTGTTCTTTCTTTTTGTTATAATATATATATATATATATATATATATATATATATATATATATATATATATATTGTTATTTTTTTTTTTTAGTTTCATTAATTTTAATACGAATGGCAGCTTATTAAAATTTTAAATGTTATTTTCATTTAGATATTACATAGAAGTGTTCATTGACTTAACGACTATCTGTGTATTATGATATAAGCGACATGGATGAACTGGAAATGCTCCATCTGTGTAAATGGTTTGAGATGTGGATCGTCTAATCCAGAGAGCAGAAGAATTTGGTAGCTGTGCAGAATTACAAAACTGGGGGATAATTGCAATGGCCGAGAAAGCACGGCATAATGAGAAACGGAAAGAAAGAAAGAAAGAAAGAAAGAAAGAAAGAAAGAAAGGGAAATGGAGAAAAAGAAAGAAAGAAAGAAAGAAATGGAAATGGAGAAACGGAAAGAAAGAAAGAAAGAAAGAAAGAAAGAAAGGGAAATGGAGAAAAAGAAAGAATTAAAGAAAGAATTAAAGAAAGAAAGAAAGAAAGAAGGAAAGAAAGAAAGAAATGGAAATGGAGATGGAGAAAAAAAGAAAGAAAGAAAGAAAGAAAGAAAGAAAGAAAGAAAGAAAGAAAGGAAATGGAGAAAAAGAAAGAATTAAAGAAAGAATTAAAGAAAGAAGGAAAGAAAGAAAGAAATGGAAATGGAGATGGAGAAACGGAAAGAAAGAAAGAAAGAAAGAAAGAAAGAAAAGGGAAATGGAAAGAAAGAAAGAAAGAAATGGAAAAGGAGAAACGGAAAGAAAGAAAGAAAGAAAGAAAGAAAGAAAGAAAGAAAGAAAGAAAGAAAGAAAGGGAAATGGAGAAAAAGAAAGAAAGAAATGGAGAAACGGAAAGAAAGAAAGAAATGGAAAGGGAAATGGAGAAACGGAAAGAAAGAAAGAAAGAAAGAAAGAAAGAAAGAAAGAAAGAAAGGGAAATGGAGAAAAAGAAAGAAAGAAAGAAAGAAAAAAAGAAATGGGGAATGTAGAAACGGAAAGAAAGAAAGAAAGAAAGAAAGAAAGAAAGAAAGAAAGAAGAAGAAGAAGAAGAATGTGGAGAAGGAGGAGTCGGGGACAGAAGTCGAAGGTGGAAGAAGAAGAAGAAGAAGAGGAAGAAAAAAAGAATGGAAGAAAAGAAGAAGAAGAAGAAGAAGAAGAAGAAGAAGAAGAAGAAACGACAAATGAAAGAAAAGAAAAAGAGGAATGGAAAAATACTAACAAAAGAAAGCGAATAAAAAAATAAAACAGTGAAGACTGTGCAGCTGAAAAAAAAAGTCGGGTCGCAAGAGAGAAAGACAAGAAGGTTAATTTGCATCATGTTACTATTAGCTTATTTTCCCCTGTTGAAATACGGCTCTTGAAGTCATTAACCTTTCCTTCTCCAGCACTACCACATCGATAGTAGGTTTGACACAAGGTCGTTATTAACACGGAGCCTCATACGCATACACTCAGTATCAACAGGATAGTGATGGCAATGAATACACAATTCACTGCAGCTGCCATTTTGACAGCTCATAATCACTTGGCATCGTTGGAGACATATGACCCGCGGCTGTGCAAATAAGACGCGGGAAGCAGCTGATTTGAAAATTTGAAATCGAAATTGCACAATAAACGCTACACTTCATAAATTCATAAAAGAACTCTTCCATACAAACATAAAAATCACTTCAATCAGTGATAATCATCTATTTCTTGTTTTACTTCAAGCAAGGCGATAATGCCACTAAGACAGCAGGTGTTACTCAGAGTGAAAGAGAATGAGAAGGCTTTCGTGAAGATTAAGGGCATTAAAAAGAACAGTTTCATGGTGACAGAAGATGGCGATTGACGCATATTTTATAGTTCGAGTTTTCATCTGAAATGTACAATAACATCTTTGAACTTTTTCGCAATCTTTGAGGCAGCTTCGTTATACAAACCTCCCAGAACTTAGCATACATCTGGCCGATGAACTGGTCAAAATGTTTTTTATATGGTGATTTTTAAAGCATAACTTAGATGTGGCACAAGGCCGAAGGTATGGAGCCCTCGATAAAGATCGTGCTCACTACTCACCTGTAATTATTCTAGTGAGACAACATTCTTTCTTTCTGTGTGCGTGTCCTTTTTACGACGTAGGCGTTCATGGCTCTCCGCCTCCATCTACTCCTTGCAGCTTTCAAAAAGTTTCTTCCCTCTGCCACCTCACTCAGACCGCGTTCTGTCATCCACTTGCTTAAGGCCGCTAGGTATGTCATGCGTTGATTCCTCTTGTCTATCTTCCCCTCTATTCGACCTGTGTGTATCAGATTCTCCAGGTCATCCTTCCTCACTATATGCCCTAGAAACTTCACCTGCTTCTTCATGATGTTAAGTATAAGCCTCCTCCTTGTTTGCAACCTCTCAAAGACCTCATCGTTGCTCGGCTCATGATATCCTTAGCATCCTTCTGTAGAAACACATCTCTGTCGCCTCGAGTCTCTTCTTCATCTTTGAGGAAATCGCACAACATTCGTTGCTGTAAAGAAGGGCACATGTCACGTGACAGCTCAGTACTCTTTTCTTTGTTGCCAAAGAAATCCTCCTGCCTAGCATGTGGAATGAGTCCCCACATGGCTCTCCACTTCCCCCTATTCCTTCTGGCTCTCAATAGCTTTCGACCATCTGCCACCTCCCCCTGACCACGTTTTGTCATCCACTTGCTTAAGCCTGCCAGATATGTCAGCGTTGCTTTGCCTTTTCTTGCGTTCTCTCTATTCAACCTGTGAGTATCAGAACATCAGATCCTCCTTTCTCATTACGTGTGCTAGAAACATCAGCTGCCTCTTCCCGATGTTAAGTATAAGCCTGCTTCTTGTTTGCATCCTCTCTAAGACCTCATTGTTGCTCACACGCTCGGTCCATGATATCCTCTGCACCGTCGCCGATAGGGTGGCTTTTAAGCTAACATTCGCGGCATGACGATTGTGCCTATCATGAAACAGCCTGTTGGCTCCGAGTGTTCACTTTTATATTTATATTTACACACGCTCTATCTCTGATATTGAGCACTTTATCCCATAAATATATCACACCTTAAAACTATATTTCTATATATATATATATATATATATATATATATATATATATATATATATATATATATATATATATATATATATAAATATATAAATACATTTATATATATTACATTTTAAGAAATCACGACGTATGTGTATATTTGTTTTGGCTTCCGTTCGGGGATTCATTTACAATAAATTTACATAGTGAAGTGGCTTCCTTTCAACATCTATGAAATTTAATAGATTTTCTTTTTTGTTTACGTTATACGCAATACGAAACCACATTTCTGGTCGCAGTGCCAACTCCACCTAAATGGTAAGTCGAAGTCAACATGGCCCGAAATAATACTCAACTATGGTGTCCCTACTTTTTACAATTCCCTACAATACATAAAAATTAATAGAAATTATAGAACGAAAAAAATTATCACCCCCCACTCCGACACGTAAATTGACGCTTAAAAATCCCATTAATAATAATAATGATAATAATAATAATAATAATAAAGATAATAATGATGATGATAATAATAATAATGATACTAATAATAATAATTTGTATCAGGTTGCATGATATTGGCACCCACTGAATATAAAACCCGGCATGACAGAGTGGGCCAATATCTGCACTGGAAAATCTGCAACTTCTACGGGAAGGAAACTGAAAAAAAAAAACTGGTATGAACACCACCCAGACCCGGTTACGGAGATAGGACCTGTTACAATTCTATGGGACTACACAATACACACTGACAGAACAATCAAAGCCAACCGCCCAGATATTGTTATTAAAGACCACAAACAAAAAAAGTGCTTTCTTACTAATATGGCAGTCCCTGCAGACTGCAATGTATCTTTGAAGATATTCAAAAAGCTATCAAAATACAAGGACCTTGAAATAGAAATCTCGAAAATGTGGCATATGAGAACATCAACAATCCCTGTTGTAGTAATAGCCCTAGGATTGGTTGGAAAAGATTGCAGTAGACTAATTGAAGGGATTCCTGGAAGCCCATGCCTCAAGGAGATACAAAAAACTGTTCTGACAAGTACAGCCCACACTTTACGAAGGGCTTTATCTATGTAATTTTTTTTTGTCAGTGGAAAGTGTCATAATGCCATTTCTAACCTTAGGTCCCTGGGCGGGACCCGGAAAGAAATGTGTAAATGCCAGAAATCAAAGAAAATAATAATAATAATAATAATAATAATAATAATAATAATAAAAATGATAATAATAATAATAATAATAATAATACTGGTAACTATCGGGAATTTCCATCATGAAGAGCAATTTAAGGGGTAATAGAAACCTCATACAATATGACCATTTCTGTTTTAGTAAATAATTTGCATGGTCTGAAATGGCTGGCACATTACAAAGACTGCCCCGCCCCGTGTGTTGGACAGGCAATTTGAACAAAGTATGGATAGTCTTTCCAACTGACAGTAATAGAGAGGCAATGCCCGTCCAAGCATCACTGCATACGTTGAAGATGTCCCTACGCAGATATGAAATTATGTTATTAAACATATAAGATTTAACACAACCTCCTAGTGAATCCTCCTATAAACAGGAGTTTTGGGGCACCTCAACTCTCCTTTTCTTATCTGCAGATTCAGGCACAGAATTAGCAATCAGAGCCTGTACATCAATAAGTGTTGCAATACCCGAGTGATTGAGATCTTCATGATGTTCAAGCTGCGGTACTCCAATATGTTCAAGCAGACCGATTGCTAAACAATTAATGCCATTCTCTATCAGAATGGCATCAATGGAGTGTAGTGCTATGTCTTTTGCATGGTTTGCATTAAAACCTTGATGCAAGAAATATTCAAACATGGCTTCCTTGTGAGTGGTCCACAGGTGAAGAGCGATTGCTGGGTAAATATACGTGCATATATATATATATATATATATATATATATATATATATATATATAAACAATATAAACACAAAAAACTTTCCAGTATTGATATTAACCGTTTCCCCACAAGGGAAAACTTTGCCATTCACAAACCGAGCAGCCAGTACCGTTTTAGTTTGAAATTCATAAAATCTTTCTCTTAAAACAACTATTCAGGAAAACTGGTCTCTCATATCCAGTAGATGTTATCGCTCTTACCAGTATTGATATTAGCCTTTTCCCTGCAAGGAAACATTTGGCATTCATTGACCGCGGTGCCACTACTTCTTTCGTAATAATTTTATAAAATCTTTCTCTTAAAACAATTATTCAGGAAAACAGGTCTCTCAAGTCCAGTAGATTTTATTGCTTTTTCTAGGATTGATAATAGCCGTCCCACCCACCACAAAAAAAATTTGCCATTCATTGACCGACCAGCCAATACTGTTGCCGGTTGAAATTTATAAAATCTTTCTCTTAAGACAATTTCATTTTTAGTAAAACAGGTTTCTCAAGTTCAGTAGCTGTTATCGCTCTTTTCAGGGTTGACGTGTGTTCCATTCTATTTGAAGTGATGTAGTATGTTAACATTTTGTATACGCCATTATTTTCTCTTCGATTTACATGTGCTATCCACTTTAGTTGTTGCTGCTGTTGGTAGTCCTCAAGTGATGTGGCTCCTATTATGTGATACAGTTCCTTGTTTGTGAATCTGTAGCTCCAGTACACAAACATCAAAAAAAGTATTTTTTTTTATAATTGATGTTATAAAAAGCGGTTGTAAATCGCTAACAGTTTAGACGTTTCCGAACGGTTTTGGCACCATTTATGACATCCAGATGAAAGTCTTGGTCTGACGAGGCTATTTAAGAATATGACCCGAGTTTTCAGATTAATACATTTTTTGGAGGGTGGGTAATGTAGTTTTTATGAGAAAGCATATAATCTGGTGTGATTATTTTGAACAAGGCCAGAACACTGAAAGCCTCTGTCACCTCATTTCAGTCTCAAAGAAGAGCCCTTAATTTAGAGGTTTATAGACAATGCTAATAGGAATGATAATATTAGCCCTTTCCTTATAGGGAAACATTTGCCATTCATTGACAGAGCACCCACTAATACCCTCGGTGGCAATTTATAAAATCTTTCTTTTAAAACCATTTTTCAGGTTTCATTCGCTGAAAGGTATTTTAACCATTGATCTTAGAAAGCGGTTGTATACAGCTGAGAGTTTAGATATTTCTGAACGGCTTTGGCGACATTCATGACATCCAGATGAAAGTCCCGATGTGACGAGGCTATTTAAGAACGTGACCCGAGTTTTCAGATTAATACATTTTTGGGTGGTGAGTGGGGTGTAATG